TTTTTTAATCTTCCTCTAGTTGAGTTCTGATTATCCAGCCATTGAGGTTAGGTCAAATGGGTACTGCCTGCAAGTTTGGGTGTTTTTGTGCATCTCCCCTCATTTCATATCAGCTGAATGCTTCACACTCAGCTCTAGCCCTCTGTGGCTATGTCCTTGTCCATGGGCTCAAGTGACCTCAGGTCTCACCACACTTTGGACCAACCAACCTTTCCTCTTCTCTCTTTCATCTCCAGGTCAACGGGAGTCAATGGACTTTGGTTGAAAACTCAGAACATTTCTTTATTGCTGCCTTTCCCCCTCTTCCACTCACCAGTAGACCAATGTGCTTGCCAGCTAGCTTACATGCTTGTTTGTGTGTTCCCTTTGAGCATCAGTCTTAGAGGAGAGTTTGTCCTGAAGGTACTTGATTGCTTGCCTTGATGGCTTCCTGGTGAACAGCTTGCTTATTCTTGTAGTAGCCAATCATGCTGACATTTTTGTTTTGGGTTTTTCCTGATTATCTTTCTTTGAAGATGTATCTTCTGATGCTCTAGCTGTTCCAGGCTGGTCTGCTTGTCCTTTCGAGTGGGGATGTCCCACCTCAGAAGGTTCTGGATGGGATTCAGGATTCCACCTAAGGTCCTATACTCTGCAAAGAATTTGCAAGAGGCCTATTTCACTTGGCAAGCTCTAGAACCCCTTTTAGGTATTCTATTCAGTTATAGGCTGAAGACAGGCTTACAAGTTTTCTCTAATCATGTTTTCCAACATTCCTTTCTATCCCACTAAAGTGTCTATTTTACAATAGTAGGCAAGGGAAACCAATATTCATAAGACAGCCAAGGATTTTAGTATTATTTCCTCTTTTCAAGCTATGCCTAGATTCCTGTATCCCAGAGTCCTGTTGTTCCAAGGTTGAGCATACATCATAATTTACCTCTGTCTCACGTAGGCCATACAAACCTATCTTAGTGTTCCCCTATCTATCTTGTTCTTCCACCTCTCCCCCTTCTTGTATTGCCCTCCCCAACACCCAACTAAACCCCCCCACCGCAACCCTACTGTTGTGGTTACCTTATATTCCTTTAACTCTTCCCTCCATTTAAGACAGTCTATTTTATCCTGTAATCTACCTGATCTTCCCACCACCTGGATCTCTGTTCCTCTGTGTTTGCCTTCTTTCACATTGTAATTGTTTTGATCATAGACTGAACTCCCAGATCCTCTATTCTTGTAATTTTGTTCTGTTCTTGACTCTTGCATTTGTTGGTTGAGTTCAGGGTGATGCTGCCACATACATCATTCTCTGGTTATTGTTTGTTCTTCTTGGTTCTCAGTCCACAGAACTTCCTTTAGGATGTTTTTCATAGAAGGGTTGGCTTTGGCAAAATCCCTTAGCTTCTGTTTATCCTGGAATGTTTTGATTACACCATTGTATTTGATTGACAGCTTTGCTGGGT